CGTGGCCCGCGGTTATCGTTGATCTCGACCAATTTTAACCGACGGTCAAAAAAGTTTTTCAAAGATTGAAACGTTTATTTTTGTAATTCTTCCTTAAAGCCTCGCTGACTAAAAAATGGCTTTAACATCCGTTACTAACGCTGTAACACTACGTCTGTTCGAAGGAAGATTTAGGTCTATATTGTATTGACTGACTGTATCAATAGAATACATCCTACATATTACGATGATATGGCAGGCTGACGCAAAATCAATAATATAATTTGAGCTGATACGTCAGCACTTCAATAGTGGAATAAAGCTGTAAGAGACTGACTAAGTATCTTGATGTATTATACATTGACATGTTGGGCATTTGAAGGTACAACCGTTCGCGTATTTGTTGTTTACTCTACCTTGCGAAATATATATATCTTTAAGTTTTTACTGTAGTGTACTTCATATAACAATTCATCTAATAATTTTGAATTTCATAAATACTGCCGGTTTGAATGAGATGAATACCCCCGCCGCAGCAAACCTGCCGATAAAGCGAATGTCCACTTCCAAGATAAAGTGCATTTTTTAGTAAAATATTAATAGCTTCGTATAAAATAAATAAATTTGCCAAGTTTGATCAACATATATCCCTAAACAAGCGAAGTACATCAGTTTACAATATTCTCCTTAAGAATAGGGAATTTTAAATTTAAAATTTTTGAATTTTTTCCGTTACCAATAACCCTACAAAAACACTTTCATATACTAAATTATTTTTTGTTTAAGCTCTGTAAATAGGTCTAGAGAAAAGTTGGTAGATTTTGGGTTTCATGGTCAAAAATGAGAAAACCCATTTTTTTACCCATAAAACCTCCCGTAAAACACCGTTCCCATGGTCCGATCATGCTGGTTCGCGAACACATTCAAGTTTATCCCGCCTTACACCTTTAAAACAAATTTCATCAATATCGGACAATATATAAACACATATATCACCATTTGAACGAATGGTGTTTTTGGCCTCTTCAGACATCAAAATGAAAAAGGAAATCGGTCCCGGGCCCAAGTCTTACCGTGCCACCTACGGTAATAGCTACTTCCGTATAGGGAAATTCGCTAAAAGGCGAATAGATAATAAAACTAAAGGATAGTTTGCCTAAGATATAGTTTACATAAGTTTTCGTTTCATAACCTTATCTGATTTTGTTTTAATTTTATTAATCCATTGTTTATCACCATTATGATTCCCAATACATCACAAAACACCCATCCTACCGGGGTGTGCTGTGGTAACCAACGTTATGGAATTCCTGTACAACGCCGACAAGAACGAATATTGCTTTTATTAAATTCTTCCGCTAAACCCATTAGAACGTACAAAATCAGTCTACAAAGCACTATCAGACGAATTCATTATTTGAAAAGTTTTTCAAAAGTTATACTTAAATTTTGTTTTTTAGGTTAGGTTTACTGGCTATATAATAAAATCACACGTTTCGCTATTTTCAAGAGCAATTCTATCCTGGGAACACTACAACTTACTGTTTAACACTAATAATACTGTTGCATGGTTTTCTTTTATTAAAATGTATAGGTGCATAATATGGTGCATAACATATTATGTTATAAATTTGGTAAATGATATTTTAAAACAGCCAGAAAGTTTTAAAGGAATATATTTCGAGCTTCCATAATATTTTTTGACGTTCTTAAAATAACTGACTCGTGGGTTCTATAAAACTAACGTAACTCACACAGCTAATGAACCCATTGACTTTGGATAATGCAGTTTTCTCGCCATTATGCAAAAACCTTTGAATGATATTTCGTTTTCAAGCATTTTACGTAAACGAATATATATTAACGGTACGAGTACATTTAAAATGTATGCTTCACTTTTTTATATAAAGAAGAATGATGGTAGGCCTACATGAAGGTTAGATTCAGTTAATCAAGTAAAAATTAGGTTAAATAGCAAGAAACTGATAGTAAACAAACAAACACCCTCTACATACATAAATATCCTAATTAATTCAACTAAATATAATATCTTAAATATATATATTTATATCCTAAATTAAATATCCTAAATAACCAACTATACACTATTTCCATGTTATAAGCAAAAGATGTTTTAATATATAAATAGTAAACTAAGAAAATATCTTGTATTACAATCCCCAAGAGTCGGAACGTGTTAAGATATAGGTAGAAGGAGTTTGCCCTAAGGCGTGCATTGTGTGCGATTCCACGGGGACTTCCCCTGTTAACAATGCCTTCTCCAGAATCTTGCTAGTCTTCACAAACCAACACGTTTCTCACTATGTTTCTTCGAGAATGGCCCAATAACAATTGTCATGTTGTCATAGACAATCATGTTGTAGTTTTTATACGTTTTTTAAATGTGAAAGAATCAGGTTTTGTTTTATGAAATAGTTTTATCGGTTTCAATCAAAGCCTTTCACGTTTGTCGTGTTATTTGCATTATCTATGAAAAATACTTTTAAATCCATCGTACTTTATTACTTTTCAATGAAATGGCGACCATACAAAGTAGGTATTTTAAGCCAAGTATGAATGGAGATGAGTGTAGGATGAGTGACACAATTCGTAACAATTTCTAAGAACTAGATATTAAAAAGGCCTAGAACTCATATGCAAGATATTTAAAAGGGCCAAGAACTCATATGCAAGATATTGTTTTACGGTAATAATGGCAGGTGACAGGCAAGAAATTGTGTTTGAAAACGTCGTTTTTTTTATAGTAGGGCAAAACAAAATGTGGCAAAACAATAAATAAGCTATAATAATTGGAAAGTCCAACATTAATTGTTGCTAATGCTACGTATATAATTTTTATTCCATCTTTTAACAATGTTTGATTTACAGTATCACATTTACAAGTATAAATTGACATACTTAAAATTGTCTTCAGCTAGCCAATCATCAAAATCATCAAAATAGCCAATCTTAAGGGAATTTCTTTAATCATTGACTATTACTATAGAATATAACTCTCCGGTTACATTTTCATATTAGTATTCATTCCGCAGTTAATTAAACATGAGTTAAGTATAGATAAAAGTTTGAAGTTGGCGTTTTGGTTCCATTTAGCTTTGTATCATGGAGTCGTAATGTAAACAGGTACTGTATCGCACTCTTTGTGGTGGTAACTATGTTTGTAGTTTCATTGTGTTCGTAATTACTTTCTCCACATCCATAGACTCGTCAAATATCCTCTTCCAATACATTTCTACAACGGCACATTGTGTCAATAAAAATACAAAAAATATTCATTGGTAATTGTCTTCACAGTTATTTAACAGTCCATTATGTCTCTATTATTAACCGACATATTGAAAAAAAAAATACTTATTGTAAGAACATATTGAATACAGTAATAGTTCTTGTATTCAATTTTCTCGTATGTTCTTTGATTTTGGACAGCACGACATAAGAAGAAACATATTATAAAGAGCTGCATGACATATAGAAGAGTGTAAGGTTTTATTGAAGATGAAATTGAAGTGTTTAATAATACAATTTATTTCATCACCTAAAGTGACTCTTTTCAACCCGAGGTCATGTTTCATGGAAAATGAGCTATTGTTGAAAAGACACTTTTTGCCTGTGTAATAAACTATATTATTCGTCTAAAATAAAAAAATAAATTGTTTAAACATAACTTTTAAAATATTAATTTCGTCAATCACTTTTGCAGTAACATTTCAGTAAATTTGGTCTAACAAGATGTTTCCTGAATATAATGTTAATGGGAAAAAATAATATACACTAAAATAAACTCCAACATTTGAAACTTTCTCGCCGGTTCCATTACTGTAAATGGGATTACTGCTACGCCGGAATAACCGTAATTGAAATATTTTTCATCTAGACTTGCTTCTAATATTCATTTACGGATCATCAAGTAATCTCTTCTTAACGTAACGGAACTAGTTAAATACTATATGTGCATATTTGTCTCTTTCAAAGAACTAGATATTACAAAATATAATATTATTTTTTTCCAGTCACTATAATAAATGAAACATTTAAAATATGTTTCCTTTGCATTTATCATGATTGATTTTAGTTTGATTTTAGCAAATTTCCCATATAGGGAATAAGCTATTACCGTAGTACTCATGGGTTATTACCGTAGTACTATTACCGTAGTAACCTTGACCCGGGACCGATTTACTTTTTCCCAATTTCTTTCCAAAGCATTTTGTAGAGCTCAAAAAAACAAATAATGTAGTATATTGAAGCGTTGTTATGCGCCTAATAGTTACGGCGAAAATTACAAAATATTTTAAATTTAAAATTTCCATGTTATTCTTATGGAGAATAAGTAAACTGTTATTTTTTTTATTAGTTATTATTATTTTTTATTATAACTGTTGCTGTTGTTAATGGCTCAAACTTTAATATAGATATAATAAATGACCATGATAAATAAAGTACTATACATATGTAATATAATACATCTTTTTACGTTTCTTATATCTACCTCGAAAGTACATGTATAACATGGAAAATATGTTACAACGGTGATGGAATAGGACTAGCTGCACCGATCATCATCAGAACATACGGGGGCTTAGTAAACTTGGGTGTTTCTAGTGTTATTAAAACAGAAATATAAAATATTTTCTCATCATACTTAATGAGAAAAATATTTAATGCCTACACGAAGCATTACAAACATTTTCTACCATTAAAACCAGTAAAGGAATTATTATTAAGTGAGTTATACCGATAAATTAGAATGATAAATCAGAATTATATTTTTGGTAACCCACCATTGGAGTACCTAACCTTGGCAGTGGCAGTGGCAATGGCGGATAAGGTGGACGTGTTGGTGTGCCCGGTATGTAAGATTTTATGTGCTGATGAGGAAAAAAGTCTATTATGCGATGGATATTGTGGTTCGTGGCACCATGCCAAGTGTTTGAACATAAATGCTAAAAAGTTTAATGAAATTCGTAAAATTGAAGACCTAGTTCGATGGTTTTGTCCAGGGTGTGATACAAAGTTGAAAAACCATGTCGCACAGGCAAAAACTGGTCTGTTGGAAGAACTGAGTGAAATGAAGAATTGTGTTAGATCATTTCAAAAATTAGGTGAGGTCCTAGAAAAGAAACTAAATGTTTTATTGACTCAGAGTATCAAAACAAAGGTAGGATTAAACCAATTACTAAATATCCATAAATATGAGGTTAAGGAACATGATCAGACAAACAATACCAGCTTGTTTTTGAATGAAGGTGACGTCACGATTGCGTCAGGAACAGCGACTCGGATTGAAGACCAAGTATCTAATTCCCCATTCGTCGAAATAAACAGCGACAACATTCAAGTGGCAGTAGAGGTACATGGAAACCAAAAAAAGCAAACCTCGGAAAGAAACAAAGACACTACTCTACTGGTGACAGAGGAACGGCGGAATGGAAATGGAACGAAACTGACGAACATGGTGATGGATCAAGAAATGAAACATAAGGAAAATGAAAATTTAAATCATCATAACCAAACTTATTGTAATGATGACGACGTGCGTGATAGTCGAAATAGTTTAAGCTCGCTCAAAGACGTGGAAGTTTCCTCGAAAGCTACTCGTATTTCCTATGCAAACACCGTGAAATCAACGCAGAGGTGTGAAGTAGATACGGAAAACAAGAAAAACTATTCACAGGTTGTTCAGCAGAAGAAAAACGATGTTATCATCGGAACAAACAGAGTGACGACAAATCTCAAATCAGCCTGCAAACAAGCGTTGTTCTTTGTTTCGAGAATATCACCTGACGTTTCTAGTGAAGAAGTACAAAACTACCTAATAGGAAAAGGCATAGGACTAGGCCTAACTCAAATTGACTGTGAAGAACTAAGCACCAAATTTAAATTCAAGACCTACAAATCTTTCAAAATTGGTTTGCCAGAAAAATATTCAACCGAGATTCTAAATCCAAACTTTTGGCCTACTGGGGTTTTAGTTCGAAATTTCATTCCCTCCAAACGTGGTGTAAGAGCAGTGACAAAGCCCAATTCTTTTTTAGGGCGCACAGTGTACAGGACTCAAACAACATAAACTTAACAAGTGACGCAACCACTAGGCCTAGGCCACGATTAAGACATGGACAAAATGGGCCAAATAAGGAAGCTGAGGCAGGCCTAGGCACAAACTGTGAAGTCAAAATTGTGATTCTTAACGTCCAATGCCTGAGAACTAAATTTAACCTAGTTTCCCTTTTTACAGAGGAGGTTGATTGTGATTTTTTGTGTGTTTCGGAACATTGGCTTTCTGCGGATGAATGGGACTTCTATAAATCCTTGTCTGGCCTTCACATAGTGAACATATTCTGTAGAAATGTACATAAAAACGGTGGAGTAGCCATCTTTGCATCAACGAAATATAATTGTAAACAAATAAATTTGGACATCTTTTGTGTTGAGCTTTCACTTGAACTTGCTGCTGTGGAGGTACTTGAAATATCAACTATTATTGTGGCAGTCTACCGTTCCCCTGACGGTGATCTGGAAACTTTTTTTCAACAATTGGATAATTGTCTACAACACCTTCTTAGATTTGAGGCTGGTAAAATAGTAATCTGCGGGGACTTCAACATCCATCTGGAGCGTCCATCGAGAGAGGAGGCCACTTTTGCTAATCTTCTACGTAGCCATGGTCTATATATAACCTCAAGACTCCCTACCCGTGGCGAGGCCTGCTTGGATGCTGCTGCTACCAACATCGACTCATGGGACTGTGAGGTGGAAGTCAAAAACTCACTTGTGGCTGACCAAGATGCAGTGGTATTGAGGCTGACAACTGAAAGGGTGAGTGAACAACATGATTGGTTAGCTAGTTTTGTAATAGAAAAGAGACTAGTTAGTAAGGATGATTTCCATTTGTTTTATGGTGAGCTGGAACATACTGGCTGGGATTTTCCAAACCTTCACTCTGATCCAGAAGGAGCGTTCCATGCTTTCTTTAGTACTTTTAAAGATAAGTTTGACGAAGTTTTTCCTGTTAGAGTCTTCAAGCCAAATACAAAGCTTAGACAGAGAAATGTCCCTAAAAAAGGTAGGCCTAGTATTAAGGAATGGTACACTCCGGAACTTGCTAAAATGCGAGCCCTTACGCTCCTGTTTCATGATCACTACAAAGCTGCCATAGATGTGGATAGGAAAGAAAGGTTCTTCTCCCTATACTGTAGGGCAAAAAGAGATTACAGTGCTAGTGTAAAAGAAGCCAAAAAACTAAGTAATGTTGAACAAATCAGAAAGTCCCATAACACGTGCAAAGCAGCCTGGGAAATAGTAAATGAACACCGTAAGCCAAGCCCAGGGCCTAAGATACAGGCAACACCTGATGAACTGAACGACTATTTTGTTCAAGTGGCAGAGAGTGTAATTGCCGATTTACCTGTCTTGCCTACTGACCCTACAGAGGCTATGATAGACCGTTCGCCAGCTCGCAAATTTGCAAAATGGAGAGAAGTGAGTCCTGCTGAAGTTTTAAACATAGTTAAAAGATTTAAAGACTCAAAAAGCCAGGATATTCATGGGATGTCTAGCTCTGTATTAAAGGCAGTGATTGACACCATTGTGGTACCTCTCACCAAGTTAGTGAATGCCTGCCTCTCAAAGGGTATATTTCCTGATAGCCTTAAAACTGCTAGGACCATACCTATTTATAAGAAGGGGGACCCAAAAATCTTGGCGAATTTCCGACCTATCTCCATCTTACCGATTTTCTCTAAAGTATTTGAGACCATAATGAAGAAACAGCTTGTCGAGTGGCTCGAAACCCACGACCTGCTTAACAATGCCCAGCATGGTTTTAGAAGCGGGAGATCAACTACCACAGCCCTTTTAAACCTTGCTGAGATAATAACTGATGCGTTCGAAAACAGTGAGTCCGTCCAACTCGACTTATGTGACCTCAGCAAGGCATTTGATGTGGTCTCGCATGACATTCTAGTGGCTAAACTAAGCAAGTATGGAATCAGTGGGATGGTACTTAAAACACTGGCGGGCTACCTTGAAGACCGGAAACAGATTGTATCACTGAGTGGGGCCTCCTCTAGAGTTGGTGTACTGCTGCACGGAGTGCCGCAGGGATCGGTCCTTGGCCCATTACTGTTCACAGTCATGGTCAATGACTTGTCGCTAAACGGCCACACACTGCTGTTTGCAGATGATACCACCTTGTTCTCTCGAGGCCGAGATCTACCAGAACTCAAAGCGGAGTCCGAACAACTGCTGACGCGAGCCAAGGAATGGTTTATCTCTAACAAACTGAAGATAAATGAGGACAAGACGCAATCGCTGATATGCACTCTCAAAACTAGAGAGGAGGAAGATCAAGATGAACCTGTGAAGCTACTTGGTTTTTGGATTGACTCTAAATGCAGCTGGAGTTACCATATTGAAAAAGTCTGCGTTAAGCTCTCCAGAGTCTTGTACCTATTTAGGAAACTTAGGTCAATCATAACGCAGCCTTACTTAAAGACTGTGTATCATTCCCTCTTCCACAGCCATATAATGTATGGACTGGTATTGTGGGGACACGCTCCTGCAGCCCATGATGTACTGCTGCTCCAAAAAAAGGCACTCAGAATTATAACATCCTCGGAATACACTGAGCATTGCCGGCCTATTTTCAAAGATCAGCAGATACTTACCATCTACAGTCAATACATTTATGACATACTTATCCTCCTTAAAGAACGTGAAGGAGAATATTCTAAAAGGGAATATCAGCACAGCTACAACACAAGAAGAGCACAAGACCTGGATATGCCACGCTGTCGCTTGAGTCGCACTCTAAGGCCTCTTTTATGCACGGCGTTTTCGGTCGGGCGAAATCGTCGGGCGGAATCGATGTCCCTTTTATGCAGTTTCTCCGCCGAGCGGAATCCGCTGATGCCCGTGGTGGGGGTGGTCAGTGCTACCAACTTCGTTCATTTTGCCATCGTCAGTGACCCAAGATGGATCCTTGTGTATTGGTGTATAGGTACTTATTTGTACATGAAGAGAAATAGACGACGGCGAAGGAGGTGGGCTGTACGTACACCCGGTTAATGAAAGTCGTAGGGTGGATGGGGCTTTCACAAACCTATATGGGTTGCTGCAAAATGATGGGGAAAAGTTTGAGAAGTTCCTACGAAACAGTAAGTTTGTATTATTCCGCGGATTTAAACAAAAATGTAATTAATTCTCATGCAGTAATTTTTCCCCTAAATACATCACTTTATTTGTACTCTTCAATCAATTACAATGAATAATGATATTCTATTTACAATGATTACCGTAGGTGATTTCAATACTGTGGATGACAGAGCGTGGGGTAGGTTGGAAGCACTAAATTCCGCCCGACGGAAAACGCAGTTGCATAAAAGGGTTCCATTTGAACCTATGTAAAAACACGCTCCACGAAACGCCGAAACTCGGCGGAGTCTAAGTCCTCCGTCGGCCTCCGACGGAATTCTAAAACGCGACGGAGATTCCGTCGTGCATAAAAGGGTCCCATTTGATCCCATGTTAAAACACTCACCGACGGAAAGCCCGATAGATTCTGATAGATTCCGCCCGACGGAAAACGCCGTGCATAAAAGAGGCCTAAAAAGTTATCCCCGCTCTGCAATAAAGGTTTTCAATACTCTGCCAGTTCGAGTGCGTAAATTGGAACTGCCGAAATTTAAAAAGGTTGTTCATGGAGCCCTAGTGGATAGGCCACTGTATTCGCTGGGAGAACTCGTTGAGGAACCACTCTTTAGATCCTAGCTAAAATATATCCGCCATGCCACAGTAAAATGTAAATAATGTATATATTGTAAATAGTGTAAATATATGCTTTTTATTGACAAACTCATATGAGTTGACGCAATCTATCCGACATTGTCGGTCAAGGATGAAGACCTCAAGTATTTCAAAAGTAGTAAGTAAGTACCTGATTGATCATTTCAACATTGCAATTTGCAAAGTGTTAAAAATGTATTCTAATTGGCGTTTCTTTAAAAAACACTCAATGCGATTTTGGTTCAATTAGTCAGCTCAGAAAAAAAATTCGATTGATCAACTAATTGGTATTTCGTCTATTAAAGAATACGAGAGGTCGTCCAGTGGTCGAAACTCGACCAAAAATATGTAATGTACTCACTTATCTATTTTCACCCCACACTGTAAATAAAACATGTGATTGGAGTTTCCTCCATTTGTTTTGATTTTCTGTTTATATTTCGTTGTTATTTCGTAACCAGCATAGCAACGCATAAGATCCATGTTAATTTTTTCAAATTTTTAAACTCATTTTTTGTGCTTATCTTTGAGCCTATTTAAATTTATAAAGGGATTCTGCACACCTACAGGAAAATAGCTTTCCAACGGTATGCGTAGATTTTCCCTACGATGCACACGAGCTGAGAAAAAAGGTTTTAAAGAAACATGCTTGCCTATTAATATATAGATAGATAATTTATTTTATTTTAGGGACATATTGTTTTATTATCTACTGAGAAGTAAAATTTTCTTAGATAAATTTAAATGCTAAACAAATAGTTGCAGTCTAAGACGAAAGGAATGTTGTTTTAGCGAATTTCCCTATAGGGAAGTAGCTATTACCGTAGGTCTCATGGTAAGACCTAAGCCCGGGACCTATTTACTTTTTCATTTTGATGTCCCCAGAGGCCAAAAACACCATTCGTTCAAATTTTTATATATCTATATATATATACTAGTGAACCCGTGCGGCTCATCGCGCCGCAAAACAACATATCAATTTAGAAAACAAATCCGTCGTGTTATATATTGATTCTAAGTCGAAAATAAAATACAGTAATGAATGAAACCTTAGATGGAAAGTAGAGAATCCATTTTCTATCCTATTTTATTTACAAAAGTACTTCCTTGAATAACTTACTAAGTTTTTAGTTGTGAAATCACCTTCAGGAAAATTACCCTGGTCAGAATTTTCCCTGATGAATATGAGTATACCATCAAAATATGTAGCCCTACTTAAAGCAACATAAAGCCCATGACTGAAAACTGGTCTGGGTAAGAGCAGTGCTACTCTTTTAAGTGATTGCCTTGTGCTTTATTGATTATCATTGCAAATGATAAAGCTAACAGAAATTGGCAGCTTTCCATTTTAAATGGTAAGTTTGTTTCCAACGGGCACATTTTTATCCTCGGAATCAAAATATGTCCCCTCTCACTTGTTCCAGTTAGGACTTTTACATTCTATTAAATTGTTAACCATTTTGGCCATTTGGAGTCTTGTTCCATTAATGAGGCCCTTTGGTGTATTGATATTCCTCATCAATAAAACCACTGCCCCGTTTTTTAAATCAATCTGTGTCTTGGCAATCCACCGACCTCCATATTGTTTAAAAACTCTGCTGGGCATTCTAGATGGGCGTTTAAATTATCTCCAAGCAAACTATAAATGATTTCGTACACCTTGGGCTCACCTGGAAATTGTTTCAAGACTTTGTTGTTGATCAAATCACAGTCACTGTTTTTGGAGCTATGGCTTTGTCTTTCATTTTGACCATTTTGTATACTGTACTTTCAACGACGTTTGGGTGGATGAAATCAACAGTGCATCCAACTCCAAGCATTTTTGCTGGCAAAATAGGGAATCCATCAGCTTCCTATCAGCTTTAGCCTATTTGAACTCTTTAATTTCCTGCTCGTGCACTTATTACGTCATGAAGTTTCATATATAGCTCTGCTCGTTTTGACTGTTCCCTATGAATGAAACCGAGACGTTCACCTTCAATTCTGGTAAAAATTTCAACTATATATTGAAGTTTAACCTTACCACCACAGCAGAATACTGAAGCCTAACAGATAGCCTGTGGGCCTCCGGTGTGTAGTTGTCGAGTCGATCCCTCCACAAGGGAAAAGCAAGGGATAGGCTATTGTATCAAGACCTGAACAATGTGCAGCCAAATCTTCTGGGGTCCCATTTTTAGGATAGGTACACAACAAATAATTTAAAAAAAAATTGTATAGCAACAAACATGAATTAGTAGTATAGGATTTGTTTTGTTTTGATTTATAAATAAATTGTCTGGTAGATCAGCTGTTTCGTGTCAAATTAATGAATGTAAAAGATTTGTGATTTTAAATATTACAGTAGCCTACGGTTTTGTAAATCATGGTAACTTTTTCTCAACTAAATTTTACTATTCCCAGCTTTAAAATAAAGTCCATTATTAGTATACTTTAATATACATTGGTTACCAAACGTGATAAAATTTAATATACATTAACAGTCATAATAAACACTAATTTTTTATGTAGTAGACTTTGACTATTTTCAACTAAAAACATATGTTTTATAAATTAAAAATATCTCCCATGTTATCCTTATGGAGAAAAAACTGACTTTAAGGGTCTCTGACGCCCTTACCAACGACTTTATCAAAAATCTAATACCGTTGGGCACAACTACACGTTTTAACCTTTATTTTGAGACCTCAAACGTCAAAATCGGGCGAATAATAACGGAGGAGTTTGATTAACAAAAAACGGCTTAGCCTATTATATATATAGATATGTGTGTGTCCATCCAAACGATAAGTTGAGTAATCTTTGTCCGATTTTGATAAAATTTGGTTTGAAGGTGTAAGGCGGGATAAACTTGAATGAGTTCGCGAACCAGCATGATCGGACTATGGGAACGGGGTTTTATGGGGGGTTTTATGGGGTAAAAATAGGTTTTTCCCATTTTTGCCCCTAAAAACACAAAATTTCACAATTTCTTTTTAAACCATTTTGTAGAGCTTAAAAAAACAAATAATTTAGTATATTGAAGCGTTATTATGCGCCTAATTGTTACGGAGAAAATTCAAAAAAATTGTAATTTTAAAATTCCCATGTTATTCTTATGGAGAATAAGTCGACTGTTGCAGTTTGCTTGTTTATGAACATATTTTGATCGATTTTGGAAAATACTTTTATTTCTTACTAAACTATTATCATTTTATAAAAAAATCTTTTTTACCCTCCCTGTTGCAGCAAACCTAAGGTACTTGTTAAACTAATTCTATTTAAATAGGAAATAAATGTGCTAATTTTATGGAGGCATTTTAGTGTAAATCCAATCAGGTCAATGGAAATTCGCTTAGTCTGCAGGTTTGCTGCGGCGGGGGTATTATAATATTATTGTTTTGTTTATTGCTTTTTGTTGTTTATACCATGTTACGTAGTTAGTTCTGAAAAACAGCGGAGAATTATTTTTTAACATTTTGATTAGTTTATTAATACAATTTAATTCCAATAATCCCACAACTATGGGACTGGTTCTGTATTAGATTACCAAAAACTCCGGGTTCAAATGCAGTAATAATACTTTTAACGTATAAGGAAGAACGGGTACTAATGGTGACTTAAAAATGTACTCTTCAATTTTCACGAGTTTGAATAATCTCAATATAAAGTTGGCTTAATGAATACAAGACTTAAACCAAAATTCAATAGCTGCACAGGCAGTGGTTGATGACAATATTAACCACTTTATTGTGAGAACTAATTAATCGTGTTTTTAATAACGAGTGAGTCTTATAAGTGATGGATTATCCAATACAATTCATAGGCTATTATTCAAATAGTAGGTCTCCAATGTAAAAGTGTTTAATTACGGTTTTATTAAAAGTGAAACATGTATAGGCCCATTTAAAATTTAAAGGGATCATAAGGAAATATAATGCAAGAGACAATTTTATACCTCCATCTTTTGTGGTTGAACAAATGCCAAACTCAGCAGACTTGGAAAGGACGGTCGTTAAAGGGACAAATACAACAATTTGTTTCTCCCAGCTGATGCAGGCACAAATGATTCATCAGCAATTTATTTATTGACTTTCAAAACCATTTTTCTTATACGTCGACTTTTATGCATTTCGTAATACGCAAACTCCTCCTAGTTTATTGACTTTCAAAACCATTTTTCTTATACGTCGACTTTTATGCATTTCGTAATACGCAAACTCCTCCTAGACGGCTGAATCAATCGTTTTCAAATTTTGCATGGTGATAAAGACCATACCGGTGTGTGCCAACATCTATATGGCGTT